ATAAAAATAAATAAAATACAAAATAGGGCTGGGGATGTGGTTCAGTGGTCGAGTGCCCCCGAGTTCAATCCCCGGTACACACACAAAAAAAAACTTGCATGTCTGAGGCTATGAAATGACCAAGGATGACCAAGTCATGGTTAGTCTAGAAGGTATCAATCTAGTTGTAACAGACGTGACACTTTTTCAAGCCTAGAGCTTCTCAAAGGTGGTAAGGTTACCCCACCCATTCTCCTAACCTGCCCAGGCCTGTAATTGCTGCCCAGGGAACTAAAGCTCCTCCCCAAACAAACCTGTGAAAGATCTAGACCTGAGCTTTTCCTTCTGCCCCTTCTGCAGGACTAGGCTGGTGTCAGGAGGCAGTTTCCTTTAACATGGGCTCCAACTCTGGGGAGCCAGAGCTCTTGCCCTGTGGGTCCTGTGACATGGTTTTCCGCTCCAGGGCCCTGTTGGCCATCCACACTCAGCGCTTTTGCATTGGCCGCCTGACCCGGGAAGGGACAAATAGAGCACAGCCCTCCGTAACTACGGAATCACCGGGTACCGCGGTAAGGACGGGGCTGGTGGATATTCCAGAGAGCTGGGAGATCAAGATTCCTCATTTTGCATTCTGTTCCCAGGTTGTGTCGGGAGAACTCCAGGGCCGCTTGGACCAGGAGGCCAGCACATCTGCTCTAAAAAGGTTAACAGAGGAGGTAACACCCACCCAGCTTTCCCCAGAGCTGTGAACTTGAAGCGGCCACCCCTTTTTTCGTAGCTTGAGATCATACATGGAGCAGATTATCCCAACAAAGATCGTGGATCACTGTAACTCCAGGTGCAGTGGCTGCGGCTGTCCTTACAGAAAATGGGACCCTGGAAGACAGAAGGCCCCACCTCCGAGGTTGCTGCAGGGAGCCCTAACGAGAGACTGCAGGCGCTGTATAGGACCCGCGCCCGGCGCGTGGCAGAGACGCAAGCGCAGAGCCGGGCACTGGAGCGACGCGGCAACGGTGAGGGAGAGACGGGGATAGGGACTTGCTCCGCCCCTTGCCCGCGGGGTTCGAACGCGTTCCGACTCTGTCCCTTACTCCCTCAGAACTAAGCTGGCGCCTCCAAGGTGGGCCCCGGGGAGGGATATCCCGCTTATTCGGTCTAGAACGGCAACTTCGAGAACTCCAGGCAGAGGCCGGGCAGACAAGGGGAGCTCTACAGATGTTGGAAACGCGCCTTCAAGAACTTCAGCCCCAGACTGGGTGAGACCCCCTCGGATGCCGGTCTGGAAGCGTGAGGCGGGGCCAGGGCGGCGGGAAGCCCTATTGGATGCGTGACGTCGTCTCTCCGCGCCAGGACTCGGCCGAATGCCTGGCGGGATGCTGAGCTCAATTGTCCCGTGCTGCAGGTCAACCCGGGAACCTTAGCTGCGGAGATCCGGTGAGGTCCGATGCGCGGGACGGGCCAGGGACGGAGTGCTGATCATCCTGGGAAGACTGTCTTACTTTCTTTCTGTACCCACCCCCGCTCCCTAGGGCCCTGCGTGAGGCCTACATGCGAGGCGGGGGCCGGGACCCCGGTGTTCTGAGCAAGATATGGCAGTTACAAGTGGAGGCGTCAGCACTGGAACTGCGGCGGTCGCAGAATCGCAGGGGTGAACAAGAGGGATCAAACAGGAGGACCTCTCCGCAGCGGTGGTCTTAGACCTGGGAGGAGAAGAGGGCTTGAGGGAGGATGTCATTGGCGTAGGAACCACCTGAGCAAAAACCCCGAGGTGTAGAAATCCTGGGTGACTGTAGCTAGAATATGAGCTGAAAGTCAAAAGACTTGTCCAGAAAGCTGTAAACACTGGAGACCTGCTCAGATCCGGACCGGCGTCACCAGAGATCAAAGGTAACAGGTGAGACTTGTTCTTCGCAGATAAAGCAAGTGCAGCCTCGGGGGAGCTTCTAGTATTGGAAGCAGAAAACCGGCGCCTAGAGGAGAATATCCTGGCCTTGCAGATGCAGAGATGCCGGGCCCAGACGTTTTGGGGTCAGTGAGCACCCCAACTTCATTCCAGCAGACCTAACTCAGGAGAATGGGTGGAAGGATGATTCCCGGGGAATGAAAACCAAGTTTGTGCCCCCCTCAGTTCGTGTCCATGCAATCTCCGTGTGTGTGTGTGTGTGTGTGTGTGTGTGTGTCTGTCTGTCTGTCTGTCTGTGGCTTCTCAGTACAGTTACCTGCTTCCTCTGATGCAGGGGCACCCTAAGTCTTCCTCTGTTCCTAGGGCCCAGGGAGGCACAACTCCTGGCTGGTCCCTGCACAAGTCCAGGGGGAAAGGGAGATCCCCCACACCTCCCTCCACCGGTGGCACCCCCACTGCCACCACTTCCAGGCTCCACAAACGTCCAGTTCTTAGGTGGTGCAGAAAAGGCTGTGAGGACCCAGGGATGCCAGGATGGGGTGAGGGGGAGTTGGGGGATGGTTCAGCTCTATGTGGTCAGGGGAGCATGGGCAGCTTGCAGACTTTCTGGAGAAGTCAGCTCATTTCCTCACAGCCACCACTTCCTGGAACCATGACAAAGAACCTGAGTCTGGACCCACGCTTCCTTTTGCCCACATCTGATGTGCTGGGCCCTGCACCATACGACCCTGGGTGAGGCCTGCTCCCTCCTTGGACAACCCTTTTCACTTGTCCACTAATAACTTAAGGAGAACTCCTAGGGCTGTCCAGTAGACTGGGTAGAGGGAGGGTGAGAGGAGGATAGAGAGGGAGTGAGAGGAGTTTGATGTTTATGTACTCTGACTTGTGTCCCCTAGGGCTGGCTTGTTCATTTTCTATGACTTCCTTCGAGGCCTTGATGCTTCTTGGATTTGGGTGCAACTATTGACTGGCTTGGCCCGAGATGGACAGGATACAGGAGGGACCACAGCATTGCCCCCAGCCTTTTGCTTGCCCCCACCTCCAGCTCCTGGGCCCATGGGAAACTGTGCCATCCTTGCCAGCAGGCAGCCTGTGCCCAGGTCAGTTAAATGGGGTTTGTGACTTGGTATTCTTGCCACAATTGAGTATGCCCCTCTTCCTGAGTTTTCTCATCTATATAAAGGCCATTCATTGGCTCTGAGGTTTAATTCCTAGGAAGTATTTAGGAAGGGACTTCAACTCTGGCCTTTGACATTTTGTTTGTTCTTCAGGCTGCCGCCATCACCGTCAGTATCCTTGGTGTGTGAGCTACAAGCCTGGCAGGGGTTGACATGGGCTAGGGCACCACAGCCAAAGGCTTGGGCCTCACTGGTGCTATTTGACCGGGATCAGCGTGTGCTAAGTGGCCGTTGGCGCCTTCCACTTCGGGCTCTTCCTGTGAACCCCAGCCTCAGCTTTGGGCAGCTGAATGGGATTCCCCAGGTCAGTGAGGAGGGTGGAGATAAGGTCTACTCCAAGGTACAGATAGAGTACCATTTCACCTCTCTCTAGGCAGGTCAGACTGAGCTCTTTCTGCGGCTGGTGAATGCAAGAGATGCAGATGTCCAGACATTGGCAGAGATTAATCCAACAAGTGCCCATGAGTACCAGTACCCACCGGTGAGGGAGGGCCCAGTTATAACTAGAGGCAATACAAGTGGGTGGTTAATAGCCAACTGTTATTGATACTACGTGCCAGTCACTACCAGTTGTTTTCTGTGCTTAATCCTCACAATCATCTGTTAGATAATGCAATGTAAACAAAAACAAAGCAAGAATTTACCAAGTTAACACTACCTTTTATTCACAGTAAGTTGGTTCTAAGGTAGTTCAACTCCAGAACCTATGTTCCTTACCTATTTTTAGATTGTTTAAGAACCTGCTTATTTTCCACAGGTATCCATATCATCTTCACTGGAAACAAGTTCCCTCAGCCCCAAGGTTGGCTTTGCTGATCCCCCACCTCCTACAGAAAAGTCCTTTGGCAGAGTCAAGACTAAAGATGAAATTTTGAGCTATGACCGATCCCCACAGGGGAGCTAGAAGGAACGTGAGGCTTATTCCCAGACCTGTAGCTTTTACTACTCCATAAAGTTTAGAAGCAAATGAGCTTGTGAATTCTAACCACATCTGTATCACCTTTGGCAAGTAGTTGATCTTTCTCCAACTGTTTTCTTTTGTAAACATTTACTGAGGATTAAATGAATCTGTCAGGTATTTACAATATTACCTGTCACTTTCTTTTTGTAAAAGCCAACTTTAGTGCTAAATTTCATATCAGATTCATCAGGATTTTTTTTTTCTTTTTAGTACTGGGGCTTGAACCCAGGTTACTCTACCACTGAGCTACACCCCCACCCCTTTGATTTTTCACTAAATAGCCTGGGCCGGCCTCAAACTTGCAATCCTCCTCCCTTCCAAATAGTTGGGATCATAGCCAGGCATGTCTTTCTGATGACTTTTGCCTAGAAGCCTTCCTGAGGCTTTAAAGAGAGATTCCAAATTAAGGCCCTAAGGCAATAATGTTATAGTTGAGAAAATTCCATATTGGGACTTCAAGACCTAAACATACAACATAAACACATCTAGTCAAGATAAGCCAGATTCTGCAAATGAGTCAATGACCAGCCCAGAGAGACATTTTCTCTTGTATTAAGAAAATCAGTGGCTCAGGAAGGAGGCTGAAGGAGGATTTTAAGTACAAAGCTGACCTCAGCAATTTAGCTGGGCCCTAAGCAATTTAGCAAGACCCTGTCACAAAATAAAACAGGGCTGAGGAGGGCTGGGGTTTGTAGCTCAGTGGTAGAGCCCTTGCCTAGCATGTGTGAGGCCCTGGGTTGAATCCCCAGCACCACATAAAACAAAGGTTTCGTGTCCATCTACAACCAAAAATATTTTTAAGGGGTGGGGGGGAGCACCTGGGATGTGACTGGTTAAGTACCCTTGCATTTAATCCCCAATACTTAAAAAATAACCACCTTTACAAAACGGGGTTGACTTGGGAGTCCTATATAGCTCCCTCAGCCTTTGATACTGGGTTTTTAAAATAGGAGATTCTAACTTATTAAACTAAGGGCTATTGGCTGTTTCTCACACAAACCCTGTGCCCTGCACAACAGGCTTACATTTTGTTGTGTCTTGACCATCATCATCCCTGGAATCCAAAAATTGCTGAGCCAATTTTTTGCTCTTAGCCCCATATCTCATACTGAAAAGCTCAAAAGCTCTAGGCAGCTCAGGATCCCATTGAAAGATCTTTAAGCACAATGCAAGACCAGGAGCTTTTTATTCACATCTTTATTTTGAGAAGTCATAACTACAGACAGTGTTAACAATTCCAAGTTTAAATGTTTTTCAATCTTTCTATACAGTAAATATCAAAACCAGCCAGCCTTCCCCCCCACACACACATTTTTCCAACCACATGTTGTCCATTACGTCAGTCACAGACAGTTTTCTCTCTATAGTTCCACAGGGATCACTTTCTCCCCCAAGTCGTCTTCAAAATTCTTTTTCCAGCATAGGATATAACCCTAGATGGAGATGAGGTAAACTGAAGACAGGTACCACCAAAGGCCTGACTGTTAGTCCATTTTCAGCACCAAACAGCAAGATCTTCACCAAATCTTGTTTTTGTAGCCCCCATCCAGGGACAGCACCACAAAGTCTGCAAGACAACTGAGTTCAGTCGAGTAACTTGATAAATATAGCACCGATGGAAACGAAAGGCCTATCTATAATCACACTTAATTTATCACTTCCACATCAGACAGGAGTTGGCGTTAGAACTTCCAACAGAGATCAATACAGAAGTGGGGAGAAAAAGTACCTTTGGCCACTATAATATAAAACCGAGACTGCCCCGAGGCATGGATTCAGCCAATATTTAAGAAAAAACCATCAAAGCCTCAACCTTTGCTTACAATCTTTATTGAAGTTATACAAAAAGAATCCCCAAAAGTGAAAAAATACATTATATACAAAAACACTCTCTTGGGAGGAAGGTTCTGTTCCCTCTCAACATGCAGTGCTTTCAACTGTAGCTCCAGCCTCCACTGTCCCCTCCACTGCTGCCCGGCTTTCTGCCCGATTCTCAGCCTGAAAAACAAACAGGGAGCCTGGGCTTCAGTAACCTGGTTTAAACAAGCCATCTTATACAAAAAACAGGTTTCAGGCAAGAGGAAATAAACACAGGTCTTCCAATTCTGCTTTGTTCTCTACATAGTTATCTGTACCAATAATCATACACTGTGTTTTGAAAAAGATCAAGCAGAAATGATCTTGCTGGCAAGGCAAGGTGGGAGCATGCACTTAGGAGTACTGATTTCTCTGATCCTTGAAAAGATGAGGGAAGAGGCCAATCCCTGCTTAACTGCCCACCTCTTCCTCCTCCATGTTTTCGGAAACTTCATTTCCACCGGGGACAGCATCCCCGCTGCCTCCATTCACCTCTGGCTCCTGTTTGGCTTTCTTTGCATCATCTTTCCGGGGGCTCTCTTCTTCTGGTTTCCTCTAAAGATATAATTGTGAAGACTTCACAAATGTGCTTAACGTTTTTAAAAATACAACTTACAAAACACTTCCCTGTGGTACAGTAGGACTCACGGCTCTGTCTCTCCACCTAGCCACAAGGGGCAGATACCAATCTGTATTGTGCAAAATAAAATTGGTCTGTCCCAACATAATTGTTGAGCCTCCTGACTAAAGGAAAAGTAGTGTTAACTAGGATGAGGAGCAGAGATGTGAACATCTGGGGCTGGGTAGAGCTCAGTGGAACAGCACTTGCTTAGCATATGCAAGGCCTTGGATTTGATCACTAGCACCACACAATACAAGTAGAAAACAAGAGATGTGTATAAATTCCAGTACATGAGCCAGGAAACAAAGCAGGAGTAAAGAGACTCCCAACCCAGAGAAAAGAACTGTTGAAGTAACAAGCAGAAGAAGGCAGGCAGGAGTTCATGTATCAAGTCTGATGAACAACTTCTGACAAAGAAAACCTACTAGCTTCCAAAATCTGACTGATCCTCATAGTCCTTGGGCCATAGGAGTTTTCTAAATGAGGTAAACATTCACATGAAAATTTACCTTCTTTCTGACAAGGTGGGAAATATCAGTTACACAATTTGATGAGGAAGCACCATCTGTTGGTTTTCTACTGGCAATCTGACACAAAAAAAAATGAAGGCTTTGTTAGCAATGTACAAACTATTGAGACAATCAGTGAGGCCTAATATTAAGTGACAAACACCTAAATGAATGAATACCCACCATGGAAACTGAAGAACCTCCTCCACTACAAGTGAAACCTGAAGTAGAACTCTCCACCTGTGTGAAAGATGACAAATTCAAGTAGGTTTCCAGAGAGAACCCAGGTCACTCAGTTTTATAACAGGTACCCATCACAATAGCTGATTAATAACACTTGAAATCCTAGTGATGGCCATTTAGTAGGCAAGATCTTTCACACACTTGGGATTAAAAGCATCATTTATCCATATCGTGTCATCTCAGAGATAGAAATAATAGCTTATATTTACTAAGCATTCCTATTTATGTGGTACTATCAAGAGTACTTTACACATAGATACTATGATCCCTATTTTACAGATAAATCAACAATGGCAGAAAAATACCCATGGTCATACAAACCGCACAGACAGAATTCCAAAATAGACAGTATAAGTCCAGACAGTCTAGCTCCAGAATATTTGCTAACCACTGTACTTTTTGACAGGAATAAGTAGATGAATTCTCATATTCTCTCTGATCACCAACTACCTAGAAACCAAGTTCCTAGCAAATGGAACATTAACAGTACCACAAACGCTATTATGAAAACTTTAAAAAGAAAATGAACGGACCAGAGTAGCTTTCAGGGCCAATTCAGCTACATTCCCACTATGCTGGGACTCTTTCGCATCTTCTATCTTCTCTCTAATTTCAGGTAGTAATTCCTTCAACTCCTCAATTTCTTTCTCATATTCAGTAGATGATCCTTCAGCCTCCTTCATCTGTTCATTTAGTACAGCTACAAAGAAGACGCATAAAAATTACCATAAAAGAATTTTTTTTTGGAGAAGGGTCAATTGCTGGTAGCAGCTTCTACTCACCCATTCTCTTCTCAATGACTTCAATAGATTTGTTGAACTGTGCCACTGCCTCGTCATACTGAGAGTTATATCCATAGGCCAAACCAAGCTGGTAGTGAGTTTCTGCAAGAAGACGATCATGGGCTTCTAGATACTGCTCTTGCAGGTTTAGGCAAGCCTGGAACTCCTCCACAGCTTGGATATAGTTCTCTAAGAAAGAAGAACAAGAATTGCCAGCACTTGTATGAAGTAGTTGCAGAATTCAGACCTGTTCTGCAGCAATATACCCATTTTGCTTTCATTCTGTTATTATCTACAGGACCCTTGGCTATGTAGAATGACAGAATGGCTTTTTAAAAAACCTGACAGGTGCTGGGCTTGTAGCCCAGTGGAAGAGCATGTGCTCTACACATTTGTGAGATCCTGGCTTTGATCCACAACACCAAAAAAACAAAATCCTACTGAAAGATCAGAGTTATTAATTAAAAGATTGTTCACTGTTCTAGGATCATAGGGGAAACAAACCTACTATATTTTCAATGTCAACTACCTAACTATAATCAATCAAGCTGATTACAGAGAATCTATTAAAGGAGGAATGGGAGAGTGAGGGATGTTAGAAAGTAAAATGAAAATGCATTACCAGATTCAACACTAACTTCTCCAAGTTTAAGATGTGCCTGTGCAGCATAAAGCTGGGCTTCTTTTGTTTCTTGCCTAAAAGAAGGAAACTGATTAGAAATCTTAATAATACTTGTCTAACCCTAATGGCTTTCTATTTATTTTCAACCAAATTCCCATCCTAAGAAGCAACAAGAGTTTTACCTTTTAAAAATGATCTTTGCTAAGTCCAGCATATCCCAAGCAAGCTCTAGGTTCCCAATCTCCTCTTCTTCATTTTCTTGAAGAGACTAAATATCCAAATCATTGTTATTAGGCAGAAGTATAAGATAAGCATTTTTCTACAGTATAAATCTAAATGTATAATGTATTATGACTTGAAAAAGTTATTTGCAATTCAAAATTCAGACTTTCTCCCCCCAAAATTTGCAGAATGGGTAAAAAAAGTTTTCTCTCCTGATTCTCTTTGTGTCAGTAATATGTTGGATACTGTCATAATAGACAGGAAGCCCTAGGAATCAGAAGATCTGTCCATGGCCGTGGGCACAGGGCGGGGGGCGGTATTGGGGACTGAACTCATGGATGCTCTACCACTGAACTATTATATCCATCCCATTCTTTTTATTTATTTATTTTTTTAATTTAAGACAGGATCTTGCCAATTTGCTAAGGCTGGCCTTAAACTTGCAATCATCCTGCCTCTATCTCCTGAGTCACTGGGACTACAGGTGCTTAGCACCCAGCTCAGATCTGTCCATTCTAAGCATGGATAGAGTCCTGATTCCTTACCAGGAGTGGGTATCTACAATAATCATGGCTACAGGAGTTAATGACAATCCTACAATAAGAGCAGATTACAGTATCAAACAACAACTTACCTTATTTTCAAGAATTGATTCATTTGGTGTTTCTTCTGCCTTGTCATTTTCTTTATCTTCCTCTTCTGAGCCTTCAGTTTCTACGAGCAAGAATTCCTTATTATTAAGAACGTTAACTAATGATATCTTCTGACTAGTCAGAGATTCCAGTAAACATCAGTCAACCTATATTTTGAGACAGGTTAGGCTAGATTCTAATCCAGTTACCATCTGATCTGATTCTAAAGTCAGTGGTTTCAATCTAATTCAAGTTTAATCTAGACTTAGAATGTGTAACCTTACAGTGTATGGGTTAGACCTTTGACAGTTAAAAGCCTAAAGCATTTTCTTGTAAAAGTTAACCTAAATCATTCTGAATGAGACTGACTTAGATACTGTCTCATTGGCTAGAGGCTCCAATTTACTCAGTCAAAAGCAGATAGAGGCCTCAATCAGTGTTTCTGGGGTCTTTATGTGACTCGTTAGACAATGCTAGTAAGCTCAGAAAATACCAAAAGCTAAATTATTCCAGTTCATTCAGAACAAGAATATGCAAGAGACTAGCTTTCCCACAATAAAGCTGTGGGAAAAAAAAGCATAGCTCTTACCAACTCTTGCCAATGAGCACGCCACAGACTCCAGCCAGCTCAAGCACACACCGAATTTAAGTGAGCAAACCAGGTATTTTAAATGATTCCATTTAAATTTGTAGTCATATCAACACTATTTCCTCATATTGAAATCCACTCATAAGTCAACTGCATGAAGAATACATTTTCAGTGATAAGATAACTTAAACCTCAAAATGTTGAGTGATTAGAATGGGCTTTCTGTTGTTACAATTCACGAATTGGCTTAATCCATCTCTCATTTTTTTTTTTTTTTTAAACAGTCTCAGGCTGGTTTCAAGCTCCTGGGCTCAGAGATCCTCCTACCATAGCCTCCCGAGTAGCTGGTATTACATGCCCATGCCACCAGCAAAAGATCTCAAATATTGTCTCCTAATAACCTAAATACAGCAATTAGGCCTTAGAGCCAAGAAGTCAGGTTAAAGGAATTTTATCTAAAGTAACAGTGCTTTATGGTGGAAAACAGGCACAGAAAATTCCTATGTATTAAAAATTATTGTAATGAACTAAAGTCCTCTAATAACTACACATTACAACCTAGTTAACAGTAAGCCCTATTTTAATCTGGAAGCTCACTTTTTTAACTTTCACTACAATACCAGTTCATCTACAATAGTCACCACCACACACCATTAATGGTAACTTCTGACTAGTCAGGGATTCCAGTAAACATCAGTCAACCTACATTTTGAGACAAATGGGTACAGGTTTACTTCCCTAAGTTTGGACTACATAGTGGTTTTGCTGACTCTTTCCATCCTCCAGCAGAATATCTAAGACAAATGAAGTAAAGCCTTTACTTCATTTGTCTTATCAACTCAAAAAATTAAACTTCATCCTCCCAATTTGCAGAGAAATTAAATTGACGTTATTATTTTAAAAATACTTTTTTAGTTGTAGGTGGATACAATACTTCTATTTTATTTTTATGTAGTGCTGAGGATTAAAGCCAGTGCTTCACACATGCTAGGTGAGCACTCTACCACTGAGCCACAATCCCAGCTCCAACACTGTTACTTTTTAAAAATTATCTGTTATCTGTTCCTACTCAAACCAGCATGCTAGACATCTAATTTAGCACAAAATATCTTAATTACTTGGAATTTTACAAATTGAGAAACCTGCACCTAGCTATCTTTATGGGACGGTGGAGAAGGAGCTAGGTTTTGTTTTTTTGGTATTGGAATTGAACTCAGGGACATATTACAACTGTCCCAATCCTTTTTGCTGAGGCTGGCCTCAAACTTGCAATCCTCCTGCCTCAGCCTTGAGTCACTGGGATTACAAGACATGCACAACTGTACCTAACTATAAACTAGGTTAATGAGAAAGTTAATACTGTAAAACCTTTCCCAACACAGTAATGTATACTCAAATACTAATGACAATGCCCTGATATTCTCAGTATACAAATTTGTTAAAAATATCTTCCAGGCTTCTTTGAAAATAGAACACTATTTGTGATATGTACAGTGCATCCTTCAGAGAAAAAGAAATGCTACTTATGACCATGTAGCATCCTCAAAACATTATGGGCACAGAGTACAACCAGAAGAATAAACACAAAAAGGTGCTAATTCTTGAGTGTTCTGGAACTCCCACAGAAGTACCCACCACAGGTTGGTCAGTAGAATCCATCTGAACACAACCAAGTTTTATGACTACAATTTAAACTTCTGTTCATATACCAACTACATCTAACATGACAATCAGGAAAGATGAGACCAGTTGTCTTTATCAGGGATATGAAAACCCCAAGAGGTAGCATAAAGTCAAGAGGTGGTAGGAAATGTGGCTTTAAATTTTTTATTTTTTAGGTGTAGGACACAACACAATGCCTTTATTTTTACGTGGTGCTGAGGATCGAAACCGAGTCCCATCCGTGCTAGGCAAGCGCTCTACCACTGAGCCACAATCCCAGCCGCAAATATTTTTTTTTTAGTTTAGGTGGACACAATACCTTTATTTCATTTTTATGTGGTGCTGAGAATCAATAAATCTTTTTTTTTTTTAAACCAGGTACTGAACTCAGGAGCACTCAACCACTGAGCCACACACCTAGCCTTTTTGTATTTTATTTGGAGACAGGGTCTGAGTTGCTCAATGCCTCGCTAAGTTGCTGAGACTGGCTTTTCAATTCAAGATCCTCCTGTCTCAGGACCACCATGCCCAGCAGGACTTTAATTTTTTTTTTAAGAGAATTTTTTAATATTTATTTTTCAGTTTTTGGTGGACACAATGTCTTTATTTTTTTATGTGGTGCTGAGGATCGACCCCAGAACCCACACACGCCAGGCGAGCACGCTACTGGCTTGAGCCACATCCCCAGCCCCAGGACTTTAAATTTTTAAATGAAGAGAGAAAACCACATTCAAGATCTGTGGACTAGGGCTGGGATTGTGGTTCAGCAAAGATTTGTGGGCTAGTGATTTGTGTCTCAGTGATACAGCGCTTGCCTGGCACGTGTGAAACACTGGGTTTGAACCTCAGAACCACATTTAAAAAAAAAAAAAAAATCTGTGGACTAGTGTTGTCACATAAAGAGGAAGAAAGCACAGAAATCAGCTGGACCCTAAAGCCAGACTGAGCACCTAGTCCTCTCCTCTCTATTGACTAGGGCAAATTACTTCTTTCTCCCATTTTTTCATCTATAAAATATGGGGCTCTCTACTGTCATTTATAAGTTATCTGCTAGAAAACCACTAAAACACCGCTTTTTAAAAGTGCGAGGACAGGGGGTTTACGGTTCAGTTGCTACAATACTTGCCTGAGACTTTTGAAGGGATTTTAAAAATGTGACCAGAATGTTTCCGATAAGAGACAGTGAGAAGAGAAAGGGTGAAAGCTGCCTTCTTCAATATGAGGTAGTGTGGAAAGAATAGTATATTCAAGGCATATCTAGTACTACAGTCTTGACCATAAACAAGTCACATGACTTTATGCCTCAATATAAGTAGAGTATAATATTCTCTATTGAGTGGTATTGTTTTAGGGTAAGGAGAGGTGCATGCCTGTAGTCTCGGCTACTCAGGAAGTTTGAGGCATAAGGATTGCAAGTTCAAGGCCAGCCTCCACAACTTTGTGAAACTCTGTCTCAAAAAGAGTGGGCTGAAGATTTAGATCAATTCCCAGTACTGGAAAAAATGAAAACCTGAAGATAAATAGTATTATTTTAGAATTAGAAAAAAAAAATGAGTTGTATGATGTTATTTACAAACTGATAGTTTATCAAAGTCCAGAAGAGAAATAGAAAATCTTTCCAGAGCATGCTACAGGGATGCTGCCATATCGATGTTCATAGCAGCACAATTCACAATAGCTAGACTGTGGAACCAACCCAGATGCCCTTCAATAGATGAATGGATAAAAAAAATGTGGCATCTATACACAATGGAGTACTATGCAGCAATAAAAAAGGACAAAATCATAGAATTTGCAGGGAAATGGATGGCACTAGAGCAGATTATGCTTAGTGAAGCTAGTCAATCCCTAAAAAACAAATACCAAATGTCTTCTTTGATATAATGAGAGCAACTATGAACAGAGCAAGGAGGAAGAGCAGGAAGAAAAGACTAACATTAAACAGAGTCATGAGATGGGAGGGAAAGGAAGAGTAAAGGGAAATTGCATGGAAATGAAGGGAGACCCTCATGGCTATACAAAATTACATATAAGAGGTTGTGAGGGGAATGGGAAAATAAACAAGGAGAGTAATGAATTACAGTAGATGGGGTAGAGACAGAAGATGGGAGAGGAGGGGAGGGGGGATAGTAGGGGATAGGAAAGGTAGCAGAATACAACAATTACTAATTGGGCATTATGTAAAATTGTGGATGTGTAACCGACGTGATTCTGCAATCTGCATTTGGGGTAAAATTGGGAGTTCATAACCCACTTCAATCTAATGTATGAAATATGATATGTCAAGAGCTTTGTAATGTTGTGAACAACCAATAAAAAAAATAAAAAATTTTAAAAAAAAAGAATTTTCCAAGGAATTGTAGAATATGATCCCAAAAAAAAAAAAACAAAAAAAAAAAAAAAAAAAAATCTTTCCAATGTTTGGTCACTAAGATCAAGGACTAGGGGTGCACAGCTCAGCAGTAAAGGAAATGCCTGGCATATATGAAAGTCTAGGTATGATCCTCACTACCACACCAAAAAAAAAAAAGAAGGAAAACGATCAAGACGTGAGAAGTTTTTAAAAGTTGAATAATTCAGTTCTGCACTTCTTCCCTAATTAATTCCTAATCCTTGAAAATTAGCCCAACAGAGACCCAGCAAGCTATTATAACTCCAACTACTCAGGAGGGTGAGGCAGGCAGTTTCAAGTTTGAGACAACCCCCGGCAATTTAACAAGACTGTAAAACAAAAAGGGTTGAGAATATAGCTCAGTGGTGGAGCACTTGTTAGCATGTGCGAGGTGCTGTATTCCTATACCCAATATCACAAAAATAAAATTTTAAAAAGAGAGAGAAGCCCAATGGCATTACCATTTAGCCAATTCCCTTCTGGTTACTAGCATGTGCTGGTTGGAGTGCAGAGGCTTGCACATAGGTAAAAGTAGTTTACCAGAATAATCTCCAAGAATGAAAAGATGTGACTCTGAGATTTTAACTTAAGAGTACTCCTGAAGTAGTCTGGCAATTTTAATGAGTAATAGCAATTAACTAGAATATACCTGTATTTATTAACACCAATGTTAGATGAACCTTAAATACAGCAGAATCCTCAAATAATAGCACAACTTAAGTCAGACGTGCCAATTACTAATTAGGCTTATGTATCTTGATGAGAATGAATCACAATTAGACATTTAATAACACTATAGAAAAGCATTCATACTTGTTAACATTCTAGGTAACAAAAGTTTTAGTTCAGTAGCCAAAGCAAACATGAAATGAGGGGAGAAAGCAGCAAGAAGGCTAACTGCTAAGTTTTTTGTTGTTTCTTTTGCCTAAGAGAAGGACTGTTTTAGCAGTGTCAGTAAATCTTGTAAAGATTTTCTGAAGACTAAAGGAGAGATACCAGAATTTTTTTTTAACTCTGATAGAACATTCAAGATTAACTGCCTTCATTTAAATGGCATGCCTGCTTAAATGTACCAAATTCAGTGGATTCTACTGCTGTTCCTGCTTCCTAATGCAGAGAAAAGAAACCATGTGAACAGTACATTGTGAACAGTAATTTAAAAATCCAGAGGCATGCAAAGTGAACATCCATTCAGCATTCTCTGCCAGCCTAGCCCACTATTTCCTTACCTACCCCACCCCCTCATCCACCTTTTCCATTCTTTTATTGGCTAGTATGGTACAAGTTACTGATTGCTAGCCAAGTTTCAGAAATCACAGTAAAAGACCTATTTTGCAGTTAGTAAAAGCATTAGTTTATAAGCCAGCTGAAGACAACTTGCTGCTTTTGATTTAACTTGCTCAACTTATCCCAACCTTCTTAAACTAATCCCATTTTCATTTTAGCCCTTTCCTAATCCTAAGGCAGACGGAAAATCCTGAATGGAAGGCTGACTTTTACCCATTATTATTAGTGAGTCAAATCCAGAATGTACTCCACCCACTGCAGCTCTTGCATATCCCGGTTACCTTCACCCTCTTTCATCTGTTCTTCTCTCTCTTCTGTCTCTTCATTAGCAGCTATCTTAACTTTGTCTTCAGGTGTTTTCTCTGTGGCCCTCTGGGCTACCTTGGTCTCAACCCCATCTCCAGCTGCCTCAGACTCTTCTACAGGCAGCTTAGTCTCCTCCTGGCTAGGAATTAGCTCTGCCCTGACCTTCTCCTCTACCTCTGAGCCATCTTTTGTTTCTGTCAATCTTTCTTCAGAAGTCTTTGGTTCAATAGGAGTCTGATCTCCTGCAGCTGACAGTCCATTGAATGCAACATCTTTAGAGAAAACTGTGCCTTCCTGCCCTGGCTTCTCAGAGACCTCTGATCCAGCCTCTGCAGCTGAGACCTCTTCAGCTTCTGTTGTCACCACCTCTGACTCTTCAGCAGAATGTACTTCTTGCTCTACCAGTTGCTCAAGGACAGCCTTTCCTGGGTCATTTTCAGAGGTAGCTACTGGTTCCTTTACTTCATTCCCACCCGCATCCACTGGCTTGACTATTGGCTCTACAGATTCTGCTTCTACCTCCACTGCAGTGCCCTGCTTTTCTAGAGTCACTATAGGCTGCTCTTCTGAAGCTTCCTCTGGCTTCTCCTCTATACTCACAATTACTTCTCCCTGCTTCTCCTGACCTCCTTTTTCTCTGCACTCTTCTTTCTCAACTTCAGTTCCAGAAACTGATTTTCCTTCCTCAGCATCTGATGCTTCCTGTTCTGGCTTCTCAGAAGTGACCTCAGGTTCATTCAGTCCTTCTGGTGCTGATGCTCCTTTTGCCTCTTCAGAAGTTTCAGTTAACTGATTTGAAGTCGATTCAACTTTTTCTTGTAACTTCTCTGCAGGCTCACTTATATCCATATCTTCTCTTCCACCCTTCTCCATTTCATTCTCCTGTTCTTTACCAGTTTCAGGCTTTGCCAAAGACTTGCATTCTGTTTTTTTGGCTTCTTTTTCTCCCATGGCGTCATAAACCTGTTCTCTCAACTCTTCCCTTGCTTCCTCTACATGGTTAAAGAACATTAAGCATAAACATGTCTTCGAGTTTAATGATAAAAGCATAAATGGAAACTAAAAACACATTCCCTTAAACCCTCACATGGCCTGGTTTAAGATTTAGCAGATGGCCTAAAAATTTTTATCTGCCCCCTTGAGAAAAGCAAAGGAAAGACAGTCTCAGCTAGCAGAGTAACTTAATGCAAAGGAAACCAAAGCACCTTAAACTAGATACTCTATTATTTGCTGTGAGCATTCTGATTACCAGTTAGGTAAAAGATGCCAAGCTTTTCATTCTATTTTAAACATTTCATTCTATATTCATTTTATTTTAAACCTCTACATGATTTGTAAAATGCTAGTAGCCAAACTCAGCTGAGAAATATTCAATTTTTCTTAAACACAAGAAATGTAAAAGGGCTCCAAAAACATTACTATTAATTGAACTTCACAAACCATTTTTTAAAAATATACATTTAATGTCTTAATATTTAAAACACCTATTTAAATGACCATATTTGTTTAATAAATTAAATTATCCTCTCACAAAAGCCTGTTGTCACTTTCATTAATGGGCTACCCCCATTGAAGTCTCTCCCAGATGCAGGTATAACCCCAAGCATCTTAGGAGAGACCAGCCAGGGCAGGGAGAGCCCTATTTCCATCACTTGTATACAAGATATAAGGCGTCGCGTCTCTTAAATGTCATGTGCAACTCCACATACCATCTATGTTATCGTTATTTTCTACCAGAGACTCATCTTCTGTTTTTTCCCCTTCTTCTTCTTCCACATGCACACCTTCCAAGGCATTTCCCAACACACCATTCTCCATTCTAGGAGAACAAGAGGAGAAAGCACCAAAGGTTTAACAGCTACAACTTAACGATGTAGCCTACATTACAAAAGCAACAGACAAGTAAGCAAGTTCAGGGAATATAATACTATACATATTCCCATGAAAGGCAATTATCAAAACTTCTAATATAAATTAAGGCTGCAAGAATGCTGAAAGAAATGAGTACACTGCTCATCAAGCCACGTGAAAAGCACTATGAGTCCTATAAAAATAAGACATATTCATTTTTTTTTAAATTCATTCTTTTAAAACAGGGCCATAAGTAGTTCCCAAACTTTCATCTACCCCCACTTCCTTGGATAAACACTAACATTCTGGCAATAGTTTCATAGCAAATCAGATTATTACAAGATAATCTAATTATTACAAGATAACAAACTTACCAGAACTGAGATTAAATAAATGACACATCATTTGCTTGGCTGCATATCCTCAATATACTTTATTCTGACTAATAAATTCTGGTGAATAATATCCAAAAACTTTCCAACAGAAAGACTACTTGGGATTGTTATTTACTAGATATCCTCACATGCTACTTACTTCAAACTCCAATAAGCCCTTATTGGTGCTTTTAAGGGTTTATTATTCTATACTGAACTTTGATCAATTATTACCCATTCACAAATGAAAAGATCTTTGCTTCTAATGATCACAAGTCAAACTTCAATTATTCTTTTTTTTTTTTTTTTTGGTACCAGGGATCCAACTCAGCAGCACTTGACCACTGAGCCACATCCCCAGTCCTATTTTGTATTTTGTTTAAAGATAGGGTCTCACTGAGTTGCTTACTGTCTTGCTTTTGCTGAGGCTGGCTCTGAACTCCCTATCCTCCTGTCTTAGCCTCTTAAGCGGCTGGGATTACAGGAACATGCCATTACATATGGCCAGTAATTTTATTCTTTAAATCGTTACAATTTCCATCAATATTTCAAGCTCTTTCATAACCCACTTTTCTAGGTAAAACGAGTCTAGCTTACTCATGTAAAATCACAAAGCTAGTAAACAATCATAGCAAACAAGGAAACTTTCATTTTTAAACAGATTGAAGTTATGCAAAACATTCTACTAATAATCTAAGAAAAACATACCTTGCTAATTCCAATAGTGATTTTCCATAGAAAAAGAAGGCTTCTCCACATTCATTAGCAGTTTCTCCATACTTCTTACCTCTACAAAAATAATAGACAGCTAAAATCTGAACGTTATTATTTTTTAAATATTTTTTTTTAGTTATAGTTGGGCATAATAGCTTTAATTTATTTGTCTTGCCTCACACATGCTAGCCTCACATGTACTAGGTAAGCTCTACCGCTAAGCCACAACCCCAGTCCCTGAACATGTTATTAACATTAATGATGCATGCAGTTAATGTTATATCTATATATAATTCTAAGTGATACCAACTTGTTACAGTTAGTGTATACTCTAACAGCCAAAATATATTAATACATATTCTTCCTGCCACAAGATAATGGACCATAATAGTTAAGATGACCTTGGCTGGGACCTAGACATTGAGAGATGATTATAGAAAGGCATCATGATATAAAGAACATGATCTCTGGAGTGAGACTACCTGAGCACAAAGCTTACCTCTAATCATTAACTGTACAACCTTGGCAGATTACTCATTTTCAGTGCCTTAGTTTTGAGAAAGATGAGATTGTAAAATGGAATGTACATAACTATTGGTAGCCCACACCTGTAATCCCAGCAGCTCGAGAAGCTGAGACTTGAGGATCTAGAGTTCAAAGCCAGCCTCAGTAACAGTGAGGTGGTAAGCAACTCAGTGAGACCCTGTCTCTAAATAAAATAACAAATAGGGCTAGCGATGTGGCTCAGTGGCCAAGTGACCTTTGAGTTCAATACCTGGTACCCCCCAAAAAAAGACAAAGCTGGGGTTGTAGCTCAGTGGTAGAGCACCTGCCCAGCATGTGTGGGCACTGAGTTCAAACCTCAACACCACATAAAAATAAAGATATTGTGTCCATCTACAATTTAAAACAAAAAAAGAAATCACATTAAGTGTGATGAATGGGAAGGAAGAGAGATTTCTAAGACAAGGAGATCAGTTTTCATAGAGTAAAAGACCTCTAGGCATCTAGATAATGAACTTAAAAACCCATTTTTTTTAACATAAAAACATCTAAATGCTTATCAGATAAGAAGTAAGCTCCAACCCTAGCACACCACTAAATACCAGAAGCTTAATTCATTGATCCCAGGTAAAGATGATCAAAGAGGCCAGAGGTCAGGGACAAGAGATTATTGTGGACCTTCAGGAATAATATGCAGTTCTGGGTGTTGGGAGGAATTGGGCTAGGAAAAAAGTGAGCTTCAAATCTGAAACCTACTGGGTATGGTGGTATACACCTGTAACTCCAGCGGCTCAGGAGGCTGAAACAGGGGGATCACAAGATCAAAGCCAGCCTCAGCAATTTAGCAAGGTCCTAAGTACCTCAGTGAGCCCGTCATTAAATAAAATACAAAAAAGGGCTGGGGATGTGACTCGGTGGTTGACTGCTACTCAGTTCAATCCCTGGTACCAAGAGGGCGGTGGGGGGGACTGAAACTCATAAATGCTTCATATTATGGGTATTTCTTTCTTTTTTTATCTCTCTACCCCATTTTCTGTTTATTTTCTTTTCTTTTTGCAGTGCTAGGGATTGAACTTGGGGCCTTATACATGCTAGGCAAGCCACTGAGCACATCATCAGCCCCGTGACTATTTCTTTTATAAGGAAAATTTCTTCACAAAAGCTGAATGAAGGGGCTGGGGTTGTAGCTCAGTGGTATAGCACTTGCCTAGATCCTCAGCACTATATATATATAAATGATGTTGTGTCTATCTACAACTAAAAATTTTTTTTTTAAAAAAAGGTGAATGAAATGTAACCAACTAATTAGGAAACATGATTGATCTTCACCTGCTGTTGATAATACCATATTAGAGGAAACTAGCTCAAACAAAGTTGTAAAGGAAAAGTGTTAAAGATTTAACATTCAAGGACTGGGGAGTAGTTCAGTGGTTTCAATCCTCTGTGTCACAAATAAATAAATATGCAATATGGGGGGGGGAATGTAACTTACTCCCCGCCTTTTTTCTCTCTCAGATCTGGAGGAACATTAAAATGTTTGAGAAGGGATTGAGTGTAGGCTCAATGGTAGAACACTTCCTTAATGTGCAAAGTCCTTAGTTTGATACATAGCACCATTTAAAACAGAAATAATTGGGAAAGCCCTGAATAAGCCAGGCCAAGTTGGTTCCCTTAATTAATTGTGACTGGAATACAGTTTACCTTATAAGAAAAATCAAAGGTTGAAAATAGGGCTGGGATGTAGCTCAGTGGTAGCCCACTTGTCTAGCATGCACAAGGCACTTCAATCTCCACACTGCCAAAAGATAGATATATATCATCAAAGGTTGAAATTGCTCAATAATATTTGGTTTTATACTTACAGGAGTAAACTCCAACATGAAAAACAATCAGTTTTGGGTTTTTTGCAATGCTGAGAATTGAACTAGAGCTTTTTGTAGATTGGGCAAGTACTCTACCACTGAGCTACAACCCAGCCCTTGCTCCCCTTGCTCTTCATTATTTTCCCCCATAGAACAACTTTCTTTTTCCCCTGGTGGTGGTGCCACTGGGGATCAAACTCAAGGCGACTATGTGCTAAAACAACTTTAAGGATTATTGGGAAAATATTACAAATAGTAAACACACCATACTTACAAAAGACTAGCTGCTTCCTGGAATGCATTGACAGCTGCTGGAATATCCCCCATCACTAGATGTTTCTGTCCTAATCCCAATAGTCTTTTAGCTTCACTATCCACATCCAGGCTGCAAGAAAGATTTTAGTGTCAGATACTACTTAAATCAACATTTATTGAATACCTGCTACACTTAAACCATAAATTTTTTGATCCTGTAGTAAGATCTAGCTAACTCACATTTATTTACCACTGCAAAACCAAAGAAACCTTTCCAAATTCCCAGAAGCTTCACTAGAATATTTTAAAGGTTTGTCTACTCACAAAGCCTACACTGCATATTACTTTAAATATTTACTAATTAACAAATAAAGAAATCAAAGGAACCATTAATTCATACAAATTGTACTAGCTAAAAGAAAAAAAATAAAAAAAAAAAACTTTAGTAAGTAGGGCAAGAGGCAGTGATCTAGTGTGGTATTAGTGTAAAGAAAGGCAAATAGGTCAAATAGAACAGAAAATAAAAACAAATCTGTACATATACTGCCAATTTTAGGTGGACACATTATTTTGTTTTTATGTGGTGCTGAGGATCAAACCCAGTGCCCCATGCATGTTAGGAGAGCACTCTACCACAACGTCAGCCCTGTGAAGCTCAATTCTTATCTCACACCTTAATAAAAAAAAAAAAATTAACTTGAAATGGATCACAGGCTTTCTAAATTTAAGATGTTAAAACCTTTTAACTCCTAAGAGAAAAAAATTACAAAACTCTGGGTTTGGTAAGACTTCCTAATCATGAGAGAAAAGTACTAACTTTTTTTTTTCATCAATAAATCAGACCTTTAAACTGAAAAACTGGCTTGTTAAAAAAAACATTTTTAATTTCTTAAAAAGGCAAATATGCCAAACATGGTGGCACAAACTTGTAATCCTAGCAGCCC